TAGAACAGATTCATATTTACTTATTATTTCATTAATGTTGTACTACATTTTAAAAAATACGTATTTTATTTTTAAAAATTCATTTGTCACAGAGATAACAGGTCACTGGTGTTATCAGGACTCATATTACATTTTGAACACAGTATTTTCAGCTCTATTAATCTGCTTCTGAGTCACACTCGCTCACTATATTTCATTAATTTATTAATTATTTTGTTTATCAGGCAGCGCACAACTTCTGTGTGTCACTGGTGTTATGAGCTTTAATGGCTGGATAATTAATATTTTTTTTCAAAAATAATGCCATAAATAAATTTTATTACTGATTTTAAACAGTTGTACAAGGTCACCTGATGCCAATGAGTCAGCCAATTTACAAATTCAAGTTTAACCAGAATGTCTGGTGACTGGAGTCACAGTCACTGATGTTACACCATGTTCATACAACACCAGTGACTGTAAAATATGTTTGGAATTAAGCTCTCCTGTTTGCATACAGGATAACAGGAGATGTCAGTTAACATATTGATTATTTAGTTTTTGGATGAAAGAAATAGATTTTTTTCTAAATGTATCCACCTGAATTCCCACTCCAAATGGAGAATGACCCATATACAAAATGTTTAAACAACTCTAACAACAGTCGCCTCACAGGATGGTGGAAGAGGGTAGAAAGACATTATTGGGAACAAAATATAATGCAAAATACTTCATATCATCCTTTTTATACTTGACTAGCTGGATTTGAAGAAAATGCACTGCACCTTTAATGAGAGACTTATTCTTGAGAATCAGGCCAAAGGTCAACCACAGCTTACCTCCAACTTCAGACAAAAAGCATAGTTGTTTTAAGTGCATGCTGCAAAAACAGATCTGCCCAGGGCGTGTAATGTAAATGTTTATCAGTGGTTGACATACACTTGCACTCAATGTGTATTAAGTTATGTGCTAAATATATCTTTTTAAGACAAAGCTGAGTTAAAAGAGTAGATTTTGCTTTTCACTTTCCCTGATGGGGCATTAAATTAAACACCAGTGCTACTGATGTAGAGAACGCGAAGACAGTTGATGCTATTTTATTAGTGTCTTCTATAACTTTCCTTACTGGGTCACAGCCCCTTTCTTCTTTTGATCTATGATATATTAATATATTAGATCTATATATAGGTGTGCTAATGTATTAATCTCCAAATTAGCATTTGAGTGTCTTTCATTACTTTTGAAGGGTAGCTCACTTTTGCAAGCTCACTATGTCTCTGTTAAAGCATTGGTGCTGTGTATTTTAATGTTTTTGCAAAATGTGTCAAATATTCTACATATTTCTTGTATTTTATTTTTTTCCCCCGAAACACAACTTTGTTTAAAAAACCAAAACCAGTAATGACCTTTGCTACCCTTTGTTTTTTATTACTTAGAATTAAACAGGCTGTATGTTACTGTGTGTACGTACTGTGCCTATCTACATATGTAAATGATCTCTGTTCTGATTGGCTGCCATGTATGGTGCCTCACAAAAAAAAACCAGGTAGAAACACTCCTTATAACCCTTTATATCCATGAATGAGCATGGCTACACTGCTGTAGGCTCAATAGGCAGGTGTACGTGTTGGTTTTTGTGCCATCACAAAAACAGTGAACTCAAAATAGGCTGTTTTTGCAGGTTTTTTCATATATGTACAGGACAGTGAATGGTATGTTTTGAAAATGTTTACATAACTGCAGACTATTACTTGAAAAAAAGGGAGAAAACTTCAGCTTTCAATGATATTGCCACTTTAAGTCCATTACAGCACATACTAGGCCAGGGGTCGGCAACATGTGTGGCTCTTTTACTGCTCTAGAATTAGATCTTTTAGGCAAAACTAAAAGAATCCTCCTTTGCAGTAAAATAATGCAGAACATTTTAACACAGCTTTAACAATAAACAGTCTTAAACGCTGGAGTTAATGTAGCCTAAAACTGCTAATTCACCCTTTAACCCTGAAGGTTGGCGTGCAGACTGCCGGTCGCCATAGCAATGCAGACAAGAAACTCGCCAAGCTAGTAGCTAACAAAAGGCACAGAGAAGTACTTAAGACGAATATCAATAAGTTGGAGACGAATGGACTTCTTTGCATTTATAAGCACTCAGCTGATTTCCTGATGCGTTTAATCTGCAACAAGTAACATCAAATACTAAAAAGTCGTGAAGCTGAAGTCAGATTCTTGTTTGAATTTCCCCGTTCCACCTTAAATGGTGCAGCAGTTACATTCTGGTGCCTCAGGCACCATTTAAGGTGGAATGGGGAAAATACAAACAAGAAGCTGGTGAATGAAAAACTGATTTCAGCCTTGTAAATAATGGAACATTGAGAGATGTTTTATGAGAAACCTACTTTTGGAAGAGTTTCCTGCCGGAGATGTGAGAAAAGCAGTTATAGCTGAGCTAAAGCTTAAAGCAGAGCAAATAAGTAACAATTATTATTTAGCAATTAAAGAGAGTTTTAAAAAAAAGACCAACGGATAAAAATGCATCTCAAAATTTCATTACAGTTTAGTCATCGAGGTGTAAAGAAAGTGATTTAAAGCGAAACTGTGCACTGCAGAGAAACTCAGATTTAGGCCAAAATCCTATCTTAAAACAGTCATAAAACACAGGCCATGTGTTCAGAACCATTTCCCTTAATAACGTTCTGTAAGGTACGCTAGGTTTTAGCGCAGGGGAGGAGAATTCTGGTCCTAGAGGGCTGGATCCCTGCACAGTTTGGTGATCTTCCTGCTCAAACACACTCGGAGTTAATTGCCAGGTTTGGTTGGAGTGTCAAAGCAAGGAAAACACTCAGACCTGCTGGACTCCGGCCCTCAGTGTCTCACCGTTTTAGAGGGTTTAAAGGCTTTAGACGTCAGGTTCCCATCATCAGAACTTTGAACAAATCTAACTTGGTAAGTTTCTACTCGGCATTTCAAATCAAACCAATCTGAATGACTTTATTACCATCTTAATGATTTAAGATGCAGAAGACTGGGTGGAATTCCATTCCCCTTTAAATGGACAATAAGAAATCGTGCACAGCCTTCAAAGATTCTAAACTTCTTTCTTGGAAAAAGAAACTCCGAAGCCTTTTTGTCTACTATATGGCAAAAATGCAGATTTACAGCGAGAGTTTAACTCTGTACTTTACTGTTTGCTGCTTTCTTTTGTGTATTTTTTGCTATTCTGTATGCATATGGTTTTAAAAAGGCAGTGCTTTGTGTAACATAGAAAATACCGGGTTTGTGTTGATGCACTTGAGAAGAACTGCAGAAATAAGCAAGACCTTCAAGTTTCAGAGATGTTCAGAACGAGTCCTTTTCAAGTTCGCTAAAAGACACAATTCAATTAAAGCATGAATGGCTACAAAAGCTAAGTGGCAGCATTACGGGGACTAAAATAGAGCGCCTTACTTTTAGCCTCATTAATAAGAAAAATCAATGCCCGACATCAAAGGATCAGGCATGTAGGTTGTAATGAGCAGAATTGTTCATCAAAGTGGAAATCTTGTCAAGAGAATGTATGCTTTAATACCATTCTCCCTGCGCCTGCATGTACAAGCATGGAGGCAATTTACACAGTAAATGGTGTCAGAGTTTACAAATTTTAGAGGCAGAAGGGGAGGCAGAGCATAGCGGATCAAAATGAGATAAAGTACAGCATGATGAACTTACTAGTGGTAGCATAAAAAGGCCTCATTCTTAGCTCACTGTTTCTACAGTCATCTGCAGTATTCTCATCAGCCCACACACCACACACACACAAACCACACACACCACACTCACTCACTTACCTAACTTAAAAGATCTAGCATTGTGTAATCAGGCATTATATAACTATATAAGAGAAAATGAAAGTTAACCTGCTTGTGTACATCCTGCACCAAAAGAAAATGAAATGTCAAAGATATTTGCGATTCATCTTATGAGCGCTGAATTACAGTAATCCGTTCACGTTGCGGCTACATAAATGCACATTAACGTAATGTGTGTGGCATCAAGTGCATTACAGCCTAATCTTTGTATGCATTAAAAGAGCATCCTAAAGGCAATGTTCATTACTATGATAAACCTCCTATAAGAACAGATATTGGAGAAAAAGCAAAAAGCGTATGGTACATGCTGCATATGTAAATATTATCGGAATATATTCTCAGAGTACTGCATGTCTTAATTCTAAAGCTGAATGATCATATTGAGCCATCAGAGCTTGCTATTTCCAGAGCACATATACAGTAGTCTACACTGTGACTATATTGCCATGTGTCCTGCAGTGTGACTATACTGCTGAGTCTTCTACTCTAACTGTATTGCTCAGTACCCTACACTGTGACTATATTGCCAGGAGTCCTACAGTGTGACCATTTCGGTAGGTGTCCTACTGTGTGACTACATTGCAAGGTATCCTACACTATGACTTTATTGCTACTTGTCCTACAGTGTGACCAGTTAACTAGGTGTCCTGTTGTGTGACTTTATTGCTAGGTATCCTACACTTTGACTTTATTGCCAGGTGTCCTACAGTGTGACTACATCGCTAGGTCTCCTACAGTTTGTCTTTATTGCGAGACGTTCTGCATTGTGACTATATTGCTAGGTGTCCTACACTGTGACTATATTGCTAAGTATCCTACACTATGACTTGATTGCTAGGTGTCCTACAGTGTGACAACATCACTAGGTATCCTACATTTTGTCTTTATTGTGCGATATCCTACACTGTGACTATATTGCTAGGTATCCTATGCATCCTGCAGATACTGCTAGATGTTCAACAACGTGACTACATTGTTAGGTGTCCTACTCTAACTGTATTGCTCAGTACCCTGCCCTGTGACTATATTGCTAGGTGTCCTACAGTGTGACCATTTTGGTAGGTGTCCTACTGTGTGACTACATTGCAAGGTATCCTACACTATGACTTTATTGCTAGTTGTCCTGCAGTGTGACCAGTTAACTAGGTGTCCTATACTGTGACTATATTGCTAGGTGTCCTATTCTGTGACTATATTGCTAGGTGTCCTACAGTGTGACTATATTCCTAGGTGTCCTACACTGTGACTACACTGCTAGATATCCTACATTATGACTATAGCTAGTTGTCCTACACTGTAATTATTTTGCTGGTGTCATACAGTCTGATTATATTGCTAGGGGCCCTACAGTGTGACTACATTGCTAGGTGTACTAGAATATTCTGCCTAGGGGTGTTAATTCTGTTAACCATTTCAGGTGCTACTCTATTCGGGTATTCATTGTTATATCACAGAAAATAAAGCAGAAAATAGACAAGCCAACAATCCAGTGAACTGCTGTTAAGGTTTGATTAAGCTGTAAAGTACAACAATTTTGCTCATGTATAAAACTGGGTATCTTACATTTTGCTACAACAAAACGTAACCATGACCATTGTTAAGGACATGTTTCAAATGGTAGAAATTGTGCAGATGTAACAAGGCTAACTACTCCAGCTGACATTAGCTAGAACCAAAAACATTTAAAGGGCCCATTTCCAACATTTTTATTTTTTCACCCGAGGTGTACTTATAACATTTGTGTGGTTACATGAAAAAGCCATAAATAATTTTTTCATGACTGTTTCCAGCATTTCTTTATTGCTTTACAGAATTAAACACTGCTTTTGTTATTGTGCCTTTAAGACTCATATGTAAATAGTCTCTGTTCTGATTGAGTGCCTTGCATTGTGCCTTGTTTAAAAGCAGTCTGGGCTGAAACACTTCGTATAACTTCAGTGCAAAAGGACGCTGCTTAACTGTTGTAAACTGAATAGGTGGCTATGTAAATATGCCGCTTTTCATAACATCACAAACAATCACAAATGGACTGTTTTTGCAGCTTAGTTTCCATAAAAGGACTGTATGGACTGAGGAGTGAAGGGTGCATTTGACAATATTTACATACTTTGACAAAATTTACATACTACATGAAACTCTCATTGTAAAAGGCAAGGAAAAGTTAGTTTGGTTTGGTACCTTCAAACAAACAAAAACAAGATTTTTGTTTTCAGTGCTACCTCGATACTAACATGGCACATCATCCACTGCGGAGGAGAAACTGTGTAAGAGATGACGAGACATTATTGTCCACTGCGGCCGCATTAGCTTATTAGCTCTTCTGAAAGGGCAGCCTCTGTTACTCAATCACAATATTTCTGTTGTCCACTTCTGAATAATAAGGCATGTTTTTAAATGCACACCTCCATGAATTGCTAAATTTTGTTTTTGCACCAGTTTACCATTTCTGTGCATTTTGATAAATTATCATTTTTGCAAATATCAAAATTAGTCAGAAATCACAGCCCTATTTGGCCATTGATAAACATGAGCTAAAGCCATATGAGGACAGCTCAGGCCTGCATATTCCCAGCTGCACATTCTCTTTGTCGAAAAAACTTCAGCAAAGCGATTACAAAGATGCAGAAAAACACCCAAGCAAACCAAGGGGCCCATCACAGCCTGGAGTCGTGATTGATTGCCTCCACAATCAGCAATTAAGGCCATGCGATCAAAAAAAGGTGGGACTTTCCAGTAGGCCTGAGCCCACTTGGGTGCATTTTGCCTGAGGCATGGCTCATTGGAGAAGGTTAACGCCAGAATAAATAACCATCTTTGCGGTTATTATTAGGATTAGCGCATAATATGCCTAAAACTTGCACGGTCCTACTAGGGTTTGTTACAGTTTACTGCCGTCTTAAGAAGGGCCAAGGAGATTAGGATAGGATGTCTGTCAATCTGCACCCACTCACTCGCCTCCACCGCCCCACCATTGCTATCATGGCCTCTCCTTGATCTTGTGCAAATTTTGCACTTCATAAGGGATGGGGGGAATTGGAACGTGCAGGCAGTTTGAGCAGTGGGTTGTTTTGATGTTTATTCATTGCACTGCGCTCTATCCAAGAATGCAGAACAGTGAACATCTGATACCCTGCTCTCCATCAAAGTTTCATGAGGAGGAATTAATTAGCGACACGAATAATGTTGATTTAGATTTAAACATCATTAAGTTTGTCTCTAGTCGGTCTTTGTACAAAATCTTGCATATTTCATGGCAACAAATACTCTCATTTCAGCAAAGGCACGAGCCACATTCTTTCATCAGCCAATCTCTGTGATAAACCCCAGTGTTCAAACAGAAATTCGCATTTGTACTGCTGACAGGCTCCAAAAAAGCCAAATCAATCACTTCTGTTTGTAGCATGAGCATGTTATGGAAGTCAGCTCGGATGCATTTCAGTCAGTTCTATCTGGAGTTTGACTGGCTGTACGGTCACCAGTTCTGCGCTGCATTTGGGACATGTGAAGAAGATGTCGGCCATGGTGTGGCTTTTGACGCAGTAGTAGCAGAAGACGTGGCTGCAGCCGATGGAATGGGGCATGGTGGGCCATTCTCCGCAAACGGCACACTCCATTTGGCTGGACGTTTCTGCGGCCGTGCCACCTTTTGTCTTATCCGACAGGGAGAAGAGTGCAGAAACGTTAGCCTTCAGCTTCCACGTGTTGACCAGTGGCAGCAAGAAGATGAGGAACTCTGCAAAGCCGTGCCAAAGCAGCTCACGGTTCATATACTGGAAGTTGATGTCCCTGGGTCCCTGGGGTCGGCTGAAGACAGGCTGCACCCCCAGCAGCCTCTCCGTCAGGGCAGGGAAGGTGCCGCTCTGGAGGAACAGCAAGAAATTGAACAAGCTGGCCGCTTTGGCCAGGCCGCCAATCAAGGCCAAAGTCCCACGAGCTTTTCGGACGCCGGTGTCCGCAGGCCGGCCCAGGAGTAACAGGCTGTGGGAGCGCTCCCTCAGCCACTTCCCGCCCACCGTCAGCAAGGCAAACCACAGCTTCTGCTGCCGGCTCATGGGCCTGTACCTCTGGCCAGGGATCAGCGCGTTCCGGTAGCGGATGTTTAGCAGAGCCTGTCCCACGGTGGCGCTGTTGGAGTAGACCGTGAACCTCCACAGGAGGAGCTGGAGGAGGGCTTTGAGCTCCGGCTCCGCGGGGGTCAAGAGGCCCGGCTTAAAATGCTGGAAACACCGGGAGAACTGTGACCAAATGAGATGTTCCAGGGCGCCATCCAGTTCAAAAGCGTCCAGCTGACTGATTCTCAGCACGCGAGATAAAGGGCTCGGGCCGGCCTCGGCGAGGGGCTTGTCACCTCCAGCTCCAGCTATAATCAGAAGAAGGCAAACGGTTATGCGTTTTTGCATTTCACTCGAAATCACTTTTCACATGTAAAACCCATCCTAAATTCCCTTTTAGCTGCACAGGGCACAGGCACAGGAGGTCTTATACTGTCCCCTCTGGAGATTCAGGCTGAGGACAAATCACATCACAGGAGATTATCCCGACAGCACAGGCTTGGCGAGGCGGTAAACATCCGCCATGTGGAACTACTTTACTTTGACGGCTTTTTATATGGGATCTAAGAACTGTTACGTTTGGTAATTTTTCACGGAATGCGTTTGTATCGGCCCGGGTTTATCTCTTTAAATGCAATGGTTAAAAAATGAGGGCCAGCGCCAGCGGTGGCCACCTCTTAGCCCTTTTGTGTGCAGGTGGACAGGATTTGGGCAATCTCAGAAATAAACTGGCTTATGAAAAATCTTGGAAACGCCTTGAAATCTTGGGGGGGGGTGAAACTTGAATCACTCAAGTTCATTTGGTGCAAATACATTCATGCGTCTGCGATGTATTCATGACGGCCAGGCAGAGGAGATGAAGGAGAGTATGAAAGTGAAAAGGTAAAAAAATAATAAAAAAGGACAGCATATCAATAAGGCAGGTGAATAGGTGAACAGTCGTGCCAAGAGTCCAAGCTTAAGCACTGCAGTGGCTTAGATTTTCCTAAAGCAGCCGACACTCAAACCCTAATGTACGGCATAAGCAGCTGGTATGTTTTATACATGTGCTGGTTTACTGTTCTTTTCAGGAGCTTCTCGGTGGTACAGCGCCGCTCAGCCGCACAAGGTAAACTGTAGCAGCAGCGTACTCTGGGGATCCGCCGTCTCCATATTCTTTTCAAAGGCTTTTATCGAGCAGTTTACAAGTTATGAATGAATATGTTATATTTGAGAACATATTATTGACAGCAACCTATCAATAGTAATGTGACTATTGTCAAGGGCCTGTCAATATTAATGTAATTATGATTTAGAGGATCACATAGATGTTAGCTGGGGCAAGTAACATCTCCTACAGGCCTGCTATCAATACCAGGATTACTATTGACATGTTCCCTCAGACTCAAAGTAGTTGCCAAATATATAACAACTAGACACTTTTGTCAATGTCTGCTGCCTATAAAAATTAAGCACGTGAATTTACAGGGCTTTAACCGGAGAGCTGAAAATCCATGTGTTCTTATGTAATCGTCAAAATTTGTAATCGATGGATGTGTTTACCTCTATTGTAATCAGCGGACCTGCCCTACATACAGAGCCGTGATTCATACACAATCATTGACCATTAGACTTTGACTCTGCTGTGCTCTCATGGATCAACACAGGAGAAAAAAAAAAAAGAAAAAGAAAAATGGCCTTCATGAAGCACTGCCTGACAGCTTAAATACAAACGGAGAGGATATAAGCTAGTTGAAAATAATTCCCCAAAACCACAATCAGCCTTATTTTTAGACATTTGCAAAGCTGCATTTTTCTGACAGATAAATTGTAAGGCTGTTTATAAGCTATTTTTCATGCGCCATATTTATTGTATATTTGAATGGAGTACAGACGCTTTAGCATTTATGATGCAGAATCAACTCCGCCATGACAAATAAATTGCCTACAAAAATGCTGAATTTTGAACAAATGGAGCCCATCTCCCGGCAACAAAACGTACGAGGAACACATATATTAGGTTATACTAGCCGAGTCAAGGCCCTGACAACTGGTATTAAATGACAAATGACTGACACCAGCACAGCCCATAAAGCATCTCCTCCCCAGGCAGCCGACTGCAGGCTAAGGCCTGCAATTCTGAAACTGATAAGGCGGGTAACAGTGTGACCTTGGGCCTCGGCACCACAATGCGACGGCAGAATTCCTGCAGCTAGAGGACTGTTTGGAATCTGTGGAGTTTAGGGAGCCTATGTTTCCTCGACCTTGGCTTTAACCGCACCGCCGGCCTTTGCACCTCCGGGGTAGGTGAGAGAACCTTAGCTGAGAACGTAGCCTGGTTATCTGAAAAGCCGTCTACTCCAGCTGGCTGCTTGCGACAGCACGCATTTGCCTTTTTCTCAGGTCGAGAAGAAAATGTATTCAAATACTTTCACACAACTAAAGCGCATGTTGTCAGTGTGAGTGATATTACTGGAATTTGCATGGCGTGACATGAAATATGAGCGGCTGCGTGTCACTTTGCGTTTCAAGTTGAGGAAGTGCTGCCAATCAGTAAAAGAATTTGAATCTGCGATGCTAGTTTATTTCTCTGTTTAGGGTTTTGCAGTGAAAAAAGTAACATTCTTAATTCACCATTTTTTTTATTTTAAACCGCATCCCACTTTTGTTCTTCTATTTAAAAAAATGTTTAATTGTATACTGTTTCTGAAATATTGTTCTATGCAAAAGGGTCCACTCCTGGTCAAATGACGTTCTAAGTGAAAATAAGTTAACACCTCCTCCACAGAGAACACACAAATACCGTGCATTAAAACATAACAAAAGAAAGTAATAAAATGTGGCCTGTGCAAAAGTTAAGGCACATATATTTAGTTTTTTTTCTTTTCAATATGTTAAACACAGTAAATAAATAGAAATTGTGCACTAAAATTTGCAGTAAAAAGCCATATTTAAGTGTGTTCTCTGTGGAGGATACTTACTTATTTTCACTTGAAAAGTCATTTGACCAGCAGTGTTTAAACTTTTGCATATGACTGTATGTATATATGTGTATGTGTATATATATATATATATACACACACACAATTTTGTTCTACTGTTTTATTTAAAGATATTGTAAAGAGCTTTGAGTTACATTCTTATGCATGAATGGTGCAACATAAAGTTGTTGTTGTTGTTGTTGTTACTATTGTTATTATTATTATTATTATTACTACTACTACTACTACTACATGTGTAGGGGAGATGAAGGCACAACCATACATTGTGTTCTTTGCTATTTTTGTTCTAGATATTTGGATTTATAATTGATCATTTTTAGGTGGGGTTATTTGTAACAAACTGAGGGTCTAGTTTTGACAGTCACTAAATCAATGCAAACACAGTTAATTCTATAATTCAATGTTGTCTGAACCAGACAAGCTTTCCAACCTAAATATATTTAAAAAAAATATATGGATCAAAAGAAATGATTTGTAAAAAGAGACTGTGTGAGATGTTATTTTTACGAAAAAGTAAACCCAAAATCTGACATCTGTGGTATGTTTTTGATGAATGTGTGCATAAAAAACCTCAACTAAATGAACTGGTATGATTTTATATGGGAGGGATATGAACTTTGTCACTTTCTCACTGTATTCACTGGAACGCTCAGTTGTAACACTGTTAAAACTAACTCCACCATGCAGAGGCTGAACTTTCACCTGGCTATCCTTCACTGTGAGTTGCTTACATGCTTCAAAATGGTTCTATATTACAGCCACCAAGAGGGTCACGTCATTTTCACATGAATAAGATACATTAACACACTTTATCAACAGTTTGTCTTTTGGTTTACTTACTTTTGCCAATAACTATATTAATGTAACACATTTCTATTCATGTGGCAATGATGTCCATATTGGAATCAAGCTTATTTAATACCTCTTAGTGCAGCTTCATGATTAAAAAGCCCTCTTTTTTTCTGTGTTAAACATTAACTTCCTCATTAAAATATCAATATCATAATTAACTGATGAGGTCCATTTGAAACTTTTGAGGTGATGTCATCCTAAAATGGGATTAAAGGGCTGCTAAAATTACTCACCATGCGACCATACTAATTGTGATAAGACCGTATCATAAAATATGAATGTCTGCAAATGTATCGGGGGGTCCGAGCCGAGGCTGTCGCACTTTAGCTTAATGCTTTATCAAGGCGGCCCTATTTCCCTAATCACTAAAGAATTGTAAGAGCCAGAGCTCGAGCAAAGTTAACGTCGGAGAAACAGCTTTTAGAGTAAGTCTGACACAAAGATATGGGCTTTGCTTAATCTAGTTTGCGCAGAGCATAAATTATTTAAAAGAATTAATTGATTTCGTGAGTATAAAGGTGGAAGATGCAAAGCCTGTATAAGTAATAAGTACAGAAGTTCGCAGGAAAACAACTTAAAAACTCATGAAACATTTAAAGGCTGAGGCAGCAAGAATGACTGGAAAGAACAGTTAATAAATGAGAAAACTGTGAGGCGGCGTTTTATGGTGTAAAGTGTGCTTGCTCTGGATGTGAATCTGAGTTTTATAAGGTTGACTGAGTCTAATTCACTACTTACGATGGCTTATCTGAATCACATAATGTAAGAAAAATAAGTTCTCTTTTGAATGCAGAGAGCAACATGGGCTGAGACATTTACAGCAAAAGGGCTACAAGAGCTTACTTCCTGAACCACTGGAAATGTTTACTCTTAAAAATAAGCCCTAGAGGAACCACTAATAGATGTGTGTGAGTATGAAGAACTTTTTAAAAGGTTTTGAGAACCTTCACATAATGTAAAGGTTCCTAAATGTATTAGATTTTTAAGATTTAATGGTTAAGATGTTAAGGAAATGCACTCAGACTGGTTTGATGTGAAATGCTCTGTTTTAGAGAAACTTAACGAGTCAGATTTCTTTACAGTGGTGGTGATAGGAACCAGACATCTGAAGAGTTTCATGCCTTTAAAAACCTCCCTTATAGAAAGCTATTACACATCAAGGTTATAAATATGCTGCCTGATACATTATGATAGTTTAGGTCTAAAATGCATGTTTAAATTTATGGTGTAGAGGTAAATGCAGGGTGTTGTAAGGCAAAATAATCCCCACTATTTACCACTATTTTACCATTATGAACATTAACTCAGAAGATGCATTGTTTTGGATATATTTGTGTCGTAGTCATGGCGACCCCTGGTTTCTGTCACCACCACTGTAAAGAAATCAGAGTTGGTTAAGTTTCTCTTACAGTAAATCTCAAATCAAAACACTGAATGACTGTTTGCATCTCAACGACTTAATTACAGAGATATTTTGTAAGATCGTGGATTTTCACCTCAAGTTCTTCTTAGAACCTTTATATTAAAGTGAAGTTCTTCAAACATCTTGATTACAAACACGGTTCTCTAAAGAACTATCCAGTGAAAGGTTTTTCTCCTATGGCATCACACAAAGAACCCTTTCTGATATCTTTACTTTTAAGATCATACCTGAATGCATTTACATGTGATTTATATTTTTAGCAATATATTTGATTAATAATGATGTGGTGTCGCAGATAATTGCTTTAATACAACAAAAAATAATCTGCACTGTTGGCATTTGACAGATGTTTAGATTTGACATGTATCAAAACAATATTTGATAATAGATTTATTTGGGTGATGGGTTACTGTGCTAAAATGTCTGTATTTTATTAATTTTACTGCATTTGCAACCATATAAAAATAAAATATATTTAAAATAAAATATAGTAAAATATACTTAATAAAAAAAAATATATATATATATAAATATATAAATGCTTACATATTGCATATTTGCATGAAAAATATTGGATATAGGCATCTTCCTACAATTCCCATAATGGTGCAGCCCAAATAATAAGCATTATATCCATGATATCTATGATATAATGCCCACTAAGTTGCCAAGCAGTTTATTTTTAGCTTTTTGCCTCCATTTTTTGCATTTTACTCAAGCTATCCAAACTCACGGTTAACTGCCGTTTGAAAGACCAGTTTAAAATCAATTTTAGTAATTTAAATATCATCTGATACATTTGTAAAACATCATAATAATGAATTTTATCAATATCGCACAGCCCTTAGTTGATCTGTAGCTGCTCTGCTTTCCAAGAGAAACCTACACAGAACCTTCTGACCCAGAAAGAGATCATACTCCACTCTGACTTCACATATTCTTCTAAATCCTCTCATTATTTTGAGTGTGCTGTGGCCCACTTACGCACCACTTAGAGCTCAATCAAGCCCAAAGCGTTCAGCTATTCTAATTTCACCCAATAACAGTCCTGCTTCTTTCATTCTAAAAGTCCATACATTGGACAAATCTCCCCCCAATTTTATAATGGAGCAGGAGCATTAAGTGATAATCAGAGAGAGGATTAAGCATGGCTGAAACAAGTTGCTGGTAGGATGAAAAGGGGGGGTAAAGAAAGATAGAGAACAGGCTCCAAGAGCAGAAAATCAATTCAATCAACCAGACTACAGATTTTTAAACTGGGTGAAAGAGGGAAACTCCACCGATATTTAAAAAATTCTACATAATGAATGGCTGAGATGTAAACCAGGTCATTCTGAGAGGTTTAGAGTGAAATGTTCTGTTCTAGAGAAACCTACACAGCAGAATTGTTCACAGTGACGGTAATAGGAACCAGACGTATAAAGAGTTTAATACCTGTAAAAGCGCCCTCACAGAAAGTTATTATATGAAGCGGTTTGATATATGCGGCTTGACGTCTGACACTTTATTTTAAGATAGCTTTGTGGTAAAGTGTTGGCTTATAATGTATTCTGATCAATTCATGGTGGAGGGATACACACAGGGCGTTGTACGACAAAATAGTCCCCAAAGAAAAGTTGTTTTTTTTTTTTGTTTTTTTTTAATTTTACTACCATCATTAACCTTAACTCACAGGTTCACTGGTTGTTTTGGATATATTTGTATGGCAGACATCACCACTATAAAGAAATTTGATTCATTAAGTTTCTCTGCATTGAACCACTTCACATCAAAACACTCTGAATGACTCTGTTTACATCTCAAGGACCGAGTCATTCAGAAATTTTGAAAAATGGTGGTGCTCCCCTTTAAGGCACTACTTAAACAATAGCTACAAATGCTATTATGGTCTGGAAATCTGTAACGTCATAACCGTCTAATAACGACCTTCTTCATTTATACCAGCTCTGACTGGGACACCAATCATGAGTCTGATCTCCGCGAAAGCGATTAGAATTTGAAGCGCACGTTATTTCCTTAACCACGTAACAACATCAGAACTCTCGCGTGACAGACAAGACACGACTCTTGTCCTGCATAGCCAAACGCGATAATGTATGACTTTCGAAAGATCTGATATCTGACATTTGCGTTATTGCTGTTTAACGACATCAAATAATGGAATCATATTTACCCATTTTAAGACTGCGGCACACTGCAGCATGCACTGCCCTTCTTTTTCCGGGTTGCACGGCCACAAACCACGCCTTCCAGCAAACGCACCAATGTGTGAGCATCGAAGCCACGCCTTTCAGCAAGCGCACCAATCGAGAAGTGCTGCCGGTCCTCATGATCGATGACGTTCATCCAATCGCGTTCCGCAAAGGTAACCATCTGATTCAGCGAGGCAAACACGAAACGGGCCATTCGCATATATGTATTGTCTGAGTAAAGCTGCGAAAATAAAACCAAAAGGAAAAGTTGTACAGTACGAATGTTCCTTACTTCATCTCTTGTCCTAAAAAGTGTTCATTTATGGCTTAAGTTATCTGCTTAACTACCGTTTTGTGAAATAAACTTAAGTCTCAACTGACGCGTTCTGCTGTTTACAAAAGCTCAACTCAACCCCTCGAGCGCATGCCATCCAATCCGCAGCGGGGATTTTTGATGGACTGCAGCACCGGCCAATCACCGTACAGCGGAGGCGGGCTTTAACGGCCAGCAAGCACTCCACAGCGCAGCGGGAGAAGCCGTTTACAAGCCCAACGAACACAACGACCAACGTGAACAGCAACACGACAAATACAAACAAACTTTCACTCAAGTCTGGTTATAAGGGCTGACTTTTAAGCGAATATATTTTTTCTGTTAAGTTTCATTTCGCTTTTAGCCAGGTAAAGGTTTAAGCAAAGCGAGCTTCATTCAGAAGCCTGAAACATCAGTTAAGTTAGCTACCAAACACTACGTTGTTAGGTACCCTAGTTAACCTAGGTTAGTTAGGTTAGCGTTACTTTCAGCTTATAGTTCGCCTCGAAAGTATCATGTCTTTAATGTCCAGTAAATAATGATGTCAGGTTTAGGTTTTAGTAAACTGGAAAATATTTTCACAGAGTTCTTATAGAGTTGTACGACTGAAACAGTCTCTCAAAACTCACAATGGACACCTATAACCTCGACCTGAAAAACAGCCTCACTGCTCCTGTAAGTAAATCAGTAAAACATTTGCTGAACGAATTCAAAAGTCTCTACGAGGAGAAGCTGAAGCGTCTCGAGTGTGAAATCAAATGTGGCTCACGAGAGGAGAGTCTGCGGGTAAGGTGACCGTTACGAATCAGAATCAGACCATTCATTCTCTCATTCTCTGATGTTATAGGATGTATAAAGTGACCTCCATTGCTTTTTCAGTTCCCTCTTTAAAAAGGTTCTGCTTTTGTAAATTGTGGCGCACAGCCTTCTTACAAATATTCATTCAGCCTAACAAGAATGAACCAACCTCGATGATGAACTTTTTGGTCAGTGACAGTTTTTGTAACTTTGCGTCTGTAAACCACCATAATGGATTTGAAATGAAGCAGTGATGTGACCAAAGTGTCGACTCTTGCTTAGTGGCTGTTTTGACTAGAAATTAGACAAATGAAGGGTGGTCTCTGACTTCTGCAAAGTTTTATATATTGTTTATATAATGCTGTAATATGTGTATGTATATACAGGTAGTGTAAAAAATAATGGAAACAGCACATAAAACACTGATTGGCCGTAATATCAGATTCACCTACCATATAGATGCACTATAGGTAAACTGTAGATTTACAGATACAGATTGTAGCGCATCTGTTGCTGCAGAATTTGTCTGGACGGAGACCACCATATGACCATTGCTGATTAGATATTATTTGAGTGGTGGACCATTCTCTGCACAGTAGTGACAGCAGTGTGGTATTGGCATAGTAGTGGGTGTTGTACAGTGGTCTTCTTAGGCTTTTTAAACACCTCAGTGTCGTTTTACTTGATGAACCATCCAGCCAGCAGTGGTCTGTGGTCAGAAACTGAGCACTGGTGAAGGGCTGGAGGATGATTGGTAAAACTGTACAGGAAAAAGATGAGCTGTAGTCTTTATCTGCACACCTACAAGGTTCAGTGTTTGCGCTGTGAGTGGTCCACCACCCAAATGATATATAGTCAGTGGTGGACCTGTGGTCGTCCTTTTGCATTGATGGATGAGGTAAAGATGAGCTGACAACAGCAACAGATGGGCTGCAGCCAGTGTTTCTGATAAAATGGCCAATGATTCTGAGTATCTAATGTGGTGTTTCCTTTATTTTGTACACCTCTAGCGAACTACTAGATCTGAAGCAAGTGAACATCACTTTCTCTTTTTGTAGATGAAGGTTCGTATCCTGCACTCGTATGTGAATGACCTGAGTGACCAGAATCAAGTCTTAGTCCAGACAGTGGAGGACCTTGAGAAAGAAGCAAGTGAGAAGGTCGCCGGCTTGGAAGTGAAATTACAGGCTGCGGATAAAACCATTGATGTGAGGAATTTGTGTATTACATGTTGTTATAGCACTGGTTTTGTATGAAGCTTTACGCATCTGTGACGCGCATAAGGTCCAAGAGTGGAAGGCAATGCATTGCAGAGCTCTAAAGATTACATTCCCAGAGTTAAGTGACTGGCCCATTCATAGCAGAGGCAGTGTGTAAAATAAAGGAACTTATGTGAACGACCTTCTGGTTACACTTCATCAAGTAAAATGCCCATCGCATATTAAAGGCTTTCACTAACTGATTACTAAAGGTGTTTAGCAGTTTCTACACAAGACTAGTGCGCATTGTGTTTATAGCTCAATATGTGCTTTCTTCCATGACCTTTTTCTGTTTAGGTTAGATGGCTGATGATTTAAAAACCTGTGTTTGGTGGGTTAGCTCTGAATAATTTAATTATCTTCAATCTTCTACCTCTAATCTTTTCACCTCTTCAAGTGTGTAGGAACTAAATGCTTTAATTGTATGTAATACAGAAACTTACTATGACAGAATATAATGAAAGGATAAGATTGAGGAATTTTCCTGTTAAGTCGTGCTGGGTGATATGTTTTTTAAAAAAATCAAAATTTTTCAGCCTTTTGATGCAAAATTATGTCTTGATATGTATGCATTTTATCTGTAAGAGTTTGAGTGTTTTTTCCACCAACAAAAAAAGAAGACTGTCCACATTCACATGAATATACGTGTGTGTGTGTGTGTGTGTGTGTGTATATATATATATATATATATATATATATATATATATATATAATGTGTATATATATAATGTGTATGTGTTGGATATGATTCCCAGTATTTTTCTTAGTACTTTTCAAAATATTTTACAATAAAACAGCAGATTTTCATGTGCCGGGGCTTATTAGGGGCTTTTGCCTTTTCCTGAATACTTTGTTGGTTTTCTAAGTGAAAACGCATCCTCTACAGGGAACACACTTAAATATAGAATTTTTCTGAAAATTTTAGTGCACAGTTTCTAATTATTTGCTCAGTTGACCATATTGGAAAAAATAAAACTTAATTCAAAATGTGCCATAACCTTTGCACAGGCCACATTTTGATTTTATTTCCCCCAAATATGTTAAATTCAGTTAATAAACAGTAATTGTAAGTGAATAAAATACGCAGAAGTGTGTTCTCTGTAGAGGGAGTGTTAACTTATTTCCACGTAGAAAAAAATAAAAAACACAACAAAGACATGTAATTTGACCGGCGTGCTCAAACTTTTGCGTACAACAATGTATTCAATACATCATCCAGCCTTTCATCGTAGGTGGCTCAACTGTTAGTGCTGCTGGCCATCAGCTGGAAGACCGAGGGTTTGATCCCATGTGGTTTGGGTCCCTGGCCTCTCAGCACTCTGTTGTGTGTTTGAGCAAAGCACTTAACCCCAAAATGCTCTGCTCTCCTTTCCCGCCAGTGCTTAAATATGAAAGCATGCTGTTAAGTGAAATAATGGGGACCTTCAGTCTTACCTGAAACAGACAAAATGTCTGTCATAGCATATTTCGCATGTAGGATATTTGCCTAGAGCCTCCAACCAGATCAAATCAATCTATTTTAAATTGTCTAATAGTTGAGAATGTATTAGGCAACATGTTCTATAAAATTCTTGGCACTTTTCCTTCTTTCGTGACACATACTATATGTGCTTTTTAGCATGTACTTTGCTGATAGATATTTTAATAATTTATTAACGTATTTCATAAATTATTCATCTATATGTGGTTATTGATGCTGTTGTACTTAACCTAGTTCAAAGTCACTTTCCATTCGGACAGGGGTGGATTTGCACTTGGCAGTTTTACTGCATGTAAGTCAAAAGTATCGGATTCTGTGCATTGCTTTGCATGTACTAACAATTGCTGTAATATTAAGGGCAGTGGTGATATCTGCAGACTTTTTTAAGAGAAGAAGAGCATTGTGTTATTTTGTTTGCAAAGAAGTGCATTACCCAGATCACCCAGCATTAGCGCATTCACTGTGATCTCTGTTCATATTCTTCTATGGTCTCCATAATCAGTTGAATTAGATTGGAGTAAGGACCGCTTCTCTGTTGTCCCAAAAGCATATTATGCTGTTGTCCCATGACTGCATTAACCATTGTTGTAATGTATGTAATGGGAAATTGAATAGATTTAGAGCATTAAATGCCACTTATATGCCTCTCAAAATGTAAAGAATGCATCAGACTCAGTAATATGAGGAGCAAAATGCACTGATTGAATGGCTGCAGTACATCTCAGATTTATTAATCCATTTTCTGAGGTTATAATTGTTTTAAAGAAGTGGGCTTTTCAGTAATATAGCAGTTATTGCAATCGTTTTTACACTTAAAAGGTACTTATTCAAAGTGGTAGTAATTTAAAAAGCAAGTGATTGAGTTTAGATTCAGCTTTTAATCAGATGAAACTTGAAATTGCATGTAAAGTTAGACATCAGTTTCTATGTAATCATCCACAACAGCTATAGAGATTGGCTTGTGGCTGCAGAGTGCTCCTGGTTCTAACCTGGAATTGGTGGACACCAGCATCAAAAGCTCAGGCTGACCTACCTGGTTGCCCAGATTGGATTTACAGTGGTGAGGAAGGGATGAAGTGTTGCAGTGCGATTTATTTATTTGTTTATTTATTTCATTTCAGGATTTGGACCATGAGAGGAGGTGCCTTGAGGAGGACAACAGGCATCTGAGAGCTGAGCTCCGAGCGCTGAAGGCTGACACTTTCACTCTTGCACAGGTGATCCATATGTTTATGTTTTTCCCTCTCTCTCTCTCTCTCTCTCACACACACTCTCAATCTTTCACTAACCCCTCCTCACACACACACACACACACACACACACACACATACATGAACACACACATCCCCCCTTCTCCAAAGTCATGGGACAGCCCCTCATTCATTTTTCAAAACTCATTTTCCGCCCTTGAGCTCAGGATTTTTAATTCCAGGTTCACCTTGACTGGTGGCCTTTGGGCATGAGGGATCAGCCGTGCTAGGCTTTGATCCAGTGAGTCGGTGTGGGGCTCATTTCCAGCCTTGCCACACTGATGCGACTCAGTGGGCTCCACTTGACCTCCCTGCTTCCGAGGGGCCCTCCAGTCCCAGCTGACGAGACCCCCTCCCCCCCAAAAAAAAACTCCTTAGTGAACCCCACCGCTGAACACCTCCAGAACCTCTTTCCAATCAGTGCTTGTTCCTTTGATCTCTATAGCGCTCCTCCTCCCCGCAATCAACGTTGGACATAGATGGAATGTGTTAGCATGTTAGCATAAGCTCTCTCATGCTGCAGAACAAGTGATTACTCCAGGCTCTGAGCTATCCTGATAAGCAGCCGTGCAGCGTGAGGTGTTCTGTATTATTTCTTGGCTGTGCCTCTGTGTTGGGCAGGCCCCGTGCCCAGTGCCACGCTGCCTCCACGTCAGCCAGGAGAACCCTCAGGTTGCATTGCTGCCAGAACACTGTCAGGACTCTGTGGGGTGGCATCGCTTGTAATGAGTGTCTGAGCCTGTGCCCCGACAGAGCCCCACATGCTGCCACTGCGCTGTTAGCAGCTTAAAAAAGGCAGAATTCTTTTCACTAATCTGCCGAGCTTGACGGTAAACACAGTAGAACTGCAGTAGACCAAAGAAATTCGGCCTGGCGCATGCTCTAAACGGAGTTGCTCAAGCAGCTCTGGTATAATAAACTACCAGCAGGCTCTAATGACTGACAGGACTGATGACTGGCATCGTGAGAGGGGTCGTACAGGGTCATCGCCGGACGCTACGCTAGTACTGTTGTTAATGACTTCCCTTTGAGTGATAATTGATCAGCTTCATTACCATATTAACTCTGTAATCCTATGTCACTAGAGGAAGGCCCTGCTGTAATTAATGCTGGGTTTGATTTTGGAAATAATGAACTAATTAGACTAATTAAAATCAATAGAGGTGCCAATACAAGGTTAGGCATCAGCTCCGCCGTCTCTATCTGTGCTTAGCCGGAATCACCAGCTCAGTGGTAAAGGAACCTAATGCTGATTTATGGCCGCTTGACGGTCGTTAGTTGGAATAAATTGCTCGTAGGAGCTAAGACAGCATTATTCAAGTGCAAGATACTAAGTGCATTGTAAGGTCAGCAATAAGGGCAAACTTACATATGTAGTTGAATGCCCTTGTAAACCCCAGTTAATATATCAGGTCCGAATAGCGGAGGATGTTGTACAGTATCTCTGAATGCACACTTGCAGCAGTAGGGCCTTTTGCTCCTTAAGAATCTATGTAAAGAAATAGCTGGAGATTAGCTGCGCTGGAAACCCATTTGGCACTCCGCTGCCTACATTTTCAGGTGCTTTAAATAACAGCAAATTACAAAGCTCTTTTGATGTTATTGGAAAAAGCATGTTTCGGATTATTAAAGACTCGACCGAAATAAGGTCACAAACAACATGTTTAGACCAACTCAGATAAAGAGATGAATAATTGCTCTTTCGTAAGATATTTTTCTCTTTGATTGTCATGGGCTTTTCATTATACTTGCTACCATTTTTAGAACAGTACCTCTTTTGTACTTCCCTTTGTGATTATGATCACCTCAGTTCTCAAAAAGAATGCACATCATTATGAAAAATTATTCATAATTTAAGAAACATTGGAGCAGAGTTAAAAATGATTCGAATGCTACCCTCTGAGCTCAGTTTTTGCATTAATCTAAGGTGTCAGTCAGCCTTGATGGGCCATTTCCAGACAGACGGGCTGACGTATTTTTCTGTTGGCTGCTGCTGGCCTGAACGCTGATGCCTTTTCCCGCTCCTCGTTATATTTCTCCCCTATTTCAGCCATATTAATGTTCGAAATGGTCCTGAAAAGTAATTTGTGTGATGCGACATCCATGTTTTGCCCCGTTATATATCAGTACAACCTTACTTGGCTGTGTTGGGTTTTCCTCTCCGTAGGGCAGTTGACCATTACTTTAATAGTATTTTTTTTTCTCCGCTGGCTTTAATGATTGAGTACTGTTTGTGCCAGCTTTTGCCATTCCTCTAACAAATTAGTTTACTGTGGTCATAACCTTCAAAAAGCTCATTACCATAAATTGCACGGCTTTTCATAAAGGCTGAGAGCTGCATTGACGGATCACAAATGGGACCTTACTCTGGACACTCAGACCTGCTAGTAAATTAGGACCTCCATTTCCTACACGTTTCTTAATCAGCTAATGTTTTTTATTCACATTATTAATTTTCCCCATTTTCAGATTTATCTGAATTGTTAAAGCCATGCACATTTTTGTATGGGGTCTTATAGTCATGGGGCTTTGTCATGCCCTTAAAGGTAACAGGAGCATGTGCTTATGAAATTGCATCTGCAGTGTCTTTAATCACTCTGTAGACAATAAAGGAGCAGCTTTCTTTTTTTCTTGGTTTTTAAATCTCAGTAGGCACCTCATGATTCAGTTCAGTTAAATTTCTTCCCCCATATTTGTCCATCTTCACAAATAGGACATTTGAATGTACCATTGTAAGCAGCCTACATGTGGTGCACTTGTTACACCTATAGGCCTACGTCTTGGTTTCACCGTCTAATAGGTTTACACAAAAAAATACACTATTCGTGTATTTACGATTCGTAATTAATCCTTTGTCAATTTCCTTTGTCAAATTGTATTAAGGTGACCTTATTTTGGTTTTCAGTAAAAGTCACAAGGAGCACGAGGACAGCACGGGGCAGTCTGTTGAAAGCAAATGTCAATATGAAAGCAGAGCCAAATCCCAGACATTTTAGACAATTTAGAAACCCCGGCTAGATGCGTTTTTTTAGGTCCCAAAAAAGAGGACGTATGGTCATCCTAAATTGTATACAACATAGGCTATAGTGTTTATTTTCCGTAAGAAATGTTATACTGATAAAAATGTTATGCATAAGCCTATGTAAAAGTCACGTTTTGAAGTTTTGTGCATTGATGCCAAATCTTTAAAGAGCCAGTCGTGCTGCATATAAGAATCAGTTAGAGTGTATTTGAAGGAATGTCCCTCTAGCGTTAAAAACTACATGTAGGGTATTGGTTAAATATGCACTATGGGTCATTTTTCCAAATCTAGATTAAACTTAAGGCTACAGTAAAAAGAATTTACAACGGTGATTCTATGCTGACACTGAAGTTTAGTCTAAGAATAAGGTGAATCCGTGTCTGGGAAACCGATCCTGCATGTGCACGAGGTTGTTCACACCTGCTCATCCAAAATTTCTTCTGAAATAAAGGGTATTAATTAAGAATTCGGGCCCCCTTTGCTGCAGTTACAGCCTCTACTTTTCTGGGAAAGATTTACACTAGATCTTGGAACATTCTTCTGAGGTCAGGTGTATTATCAGCAACAGTCTTATCAGTCTTATGTTTGAAGTGGGAGAATTTAACATAATAACACAGAGCTTGTGAACCAAGCTCAATTAGAAACAACCAAACACGTGCGGTGTACGTGACAACGCATCCACAACTAACTGGTAGTCGGACTCCCATGTTCAAGCCTCAATGCAGAAAAGGTGGATAGTCTGGACTTCATGGCCAAAATGACAGGCCAGAATAATCACAGTTACAATATCAATCAAAAAAATTTCCCCAAATCGTTCAGCCCTAGTTCTATATCTCAAACACCACTTTAACTCATCCTAAAGGCATTGCGTGGAGCTCATAACTACAGAGAACATAGTTCCACTGCTTCACAGCCCAATGCTGGTGTGCTTTTTACCCCTCTAGCTCTTGCTTGGCATTGGGTATGGGGACCTTAGGCTCATGTGCTGCTGCTTCAGAGTGTCCCATATTCTATTGGCAATGTCTTTCTAAAAAGATTATACAAGCTGTGTATGCACAGTTGAACAACCGCGTCAACAGTGGATCGGCAGTCTAATTCACTAAATAGAAGGTTTAAATATTCACATAATGTGTGCTAGTAGAATGCATTTGCTTCTATGCTACAACAATTGGGTTCAAAAGTATATTTTTTATCTGCAAAATTGCAAAAACAAAATGTATTGTGTCTTTTCTATTTTGAGAATGGGAAGCCTTCAGCTGCCCTTTGCTTGCCTGTTTTTGATACAGTCCTACTTTAGTTACTTTGGAAATATTAACAGTAGATTAAAGTCAAATACTGCTAAATAATGACCTTTGAAAAGCATGTTTTTAATGAAATTATGCTGTTATGTGTAATTCAGAAAGAATATTAAAGAACAAATGCTTGTTTTGAAGCACATTCTGCAGTTTCTCCGCAGGTTCGAAAACAGAGGTTGTATGGAATTTAATTTCGGTTATTGTCTCTCCACGGTGGCCGGCTAGATTTTCTGTTTCAATCGGAGCACATAATGGGCGGCTCACGAACCTGCTGATCACCCTTCCGTTTAGTCTTTTAAGCAAGTGTTTCACGGCTCTGGCCCCCAGCCTGCTTTTATTGTTTCTCTCTCGCAGTTTAATTCCCCTCAGTGCATGCTGCTCCGGCTACCTCAGCTCACTACTCTCAACACTAATATCAATTGTGCACCTTCAGTGAGCAAGCTTTTCCTGCAGCTTAGCCGCTCTGCTTAATTAGCCTCTCTCTCTCTCCCTCTCTTACACGCACGCAGTCGTCGAAACATGAACGCACGTACACCGAGCTGTACCTGCAGCAGCCCTGGCCTGTTTTCTATTGATCCGCTTGTGTGAAATTGTGATAAGTGTTCACTTTTATCTTTCTCCATTCTGTTTATGAAATGTGAAATACATATGAAAAGGGGGCTTGGAGAGGTTTCAGCACATGATTGCTTGAATAGTGTTTTTCCTTCAGAGTTGTTAACGGGGGGTAGGCATCCATCAGTATTTTTCCGTCTCCACTGACTTGTGTTTGTTGACCTAAAAAGCAGTCGAGCGCTAGAGCAAAATAATAGCAAAGAGACCCCTTATCTCTGGATCATGCATAAAATATTACATGGGCTTTAATGGATGCATCCTGGTTCCTATTCCCTTCCAATTGTGCCCCGAGTCCATGTCCATATTTGCTGCCTAATGCATGTGATGGCTGAGGTAGTTTACGGATCTGGCAGCTATTAAAAGCTAGTTTTGGCCGGGTCTTCTAGAACCAGAGCAGGGAGGAGAGGCCAGTCAAGCACTGCTGAAACAGGTCAGGAGAAAAAAATAGACCTGACGGCACAGGGACTTGACCTGTGAGTAATTAACATCCACATTGATTTCCTTTTTCCCCCAGAGTGACCTCTGTCGCCGCACCCCTCCAAACACACACATACACACACACACACACACACACACACACACGTGCCCATATTTCAGTCCGCGCTCACAGCCCCATATTTCACTCCAACACACGCTTTCCCCATATTTCACCAGCACGTCCAGCCTCAAATCCCCAACTCTCCAAAGACAACACCAGGCAAGGCAAGGGAAGACTAATTAGATGTAGCATGGGCTGACCATGTTAGCTGGGGGTATGTTTTATACAGTGAATTTATTTCTATGAAGTCTGTCTTTGCTTTCCTATCTTTCAAACCTTTGAGTGTTTGGTCAGTGACTGTATTATTTCTACAAAACCTCTAAACATATTTTAGATTAATAGAATATAAACTGTATTTATAGTTTTATCCTCCTGTTTTAATGTGTACAGTATTGTGTGAAAGTCTTAAGCACACTATTTAAAACCATTCATCTAGGGAATAAGTTTGTGCTTGTTGAAACACCATATGACATTAGAATAAATGCAAATAAATGTAAATACAGTAAAAAGTAATGAGTTTGTTTTTAAAAAAGTAGTTGTGAACTAGTTTGAAAAACAAAATTTCATTCCAGATGTCTCCTCGAAGCCCCCAGCCATCGCATGGATTCATTCGATTCCATCACCAGCACACTTGATTTAACATAGCGAAGCACTGAGTAGCCAATCCAGATATTTGCTGATAATTTCTTTGATGATAAGTTGGGAAATTAACAAAAAAACATTAACATAAAATCACTACTACTACAGGTTTGTTGTCCATTGGGGAATGTTGGTGAGCAATCATTGCCCCAAACTTTGAGCTTTGCATTCTCAAGGTACTGGATTGGTTTCAGAAATTTCACACTCAGTTTGTTTCTACGTTAATAAGTTAATAATTAAGTTTCCACCTACATTAAGCCCAGAATTTCTTGGAACAATGGTTGTCCCAAGGCTTTCTCATTACTAGATCATGTCTGACCTAGTCACCATGACAAGTGTCGAAGGTCTACTAGAGGTGTTTAAAGCCCCCCCAGTATTGGGCTGTGGAGCGGTGGAACTGTGTTCTTTGAAGTTGTGGAGCACCGTCCCCTTTGGGATGAGTTGGAGTGGTGTTTGTGATCCAGAACTAATCATCCAACGTCAATACCTGACCTCACTAATGCTTTTGTAACTGAATGCAATCAAACCCTTACAGCAATGTTCCAACATTAGTGGAAGGCATTCTCGGGACAGTAGAGGCTGTTTCTGCAGCAAAGGGGAAACAATATAATGAATGGAAGAATTACAAAAGCTCCTACAAAACAATATTATTGAGATACCACTGGGTTGTTATCCACTATGCAGTCCAACCATTCCTAACAGTGACACCACTACCAGAAGACTTACCAGAAGGAAAAGCACCATCTTATGGACTATAAAAGCAATGTCTTTTGGTATTCTTGTAAATTTGGTAAAATATTAATTAAATAACATTTTAAACACAAAATATCACAATACGGTGTTGTTTGCACTTTTTTCTCCCAACCTTTTGAAGAGGACCTCAAACTAGGGGTACATTCCAAATCAGAAAGTGAACTTCGGGTAAACCACAAATCAAAGGCTGTGGCACACTCCAGATTTAGATAAAGAGAGATGAGTTCGGGCGGCTGCCTCAAAAGGCACCATTCATCACTGTGGAGCATGTCAGGGGTTGCGTCAAAGTTTTGATTAAATCCCAGAGATGAAAATGATGCAAAAGCAAATGTAATTATCCTAATTATATTTCATGAAATCATCTCTTATTAATCCTGTGAGTGTTTTTATTTGTCTGCTGTGCGTTTGCTCAGGAAGAGTAATTTAAGTCTGCTGATCATAGTCGCCCATTGGCATTTTGATAGGAACGTGTTATTTTAAATGAACAATAAAGCTTTTGTCTGCTTGTCTGTGGTGGTTGTACTAGGTCACGGGGGTTACCTTACAGACAGTGCCATTGGAGAGGACCACTGACCGCTCAGCTTGCAGGGCTCAGTCACCGTAAGTATAGTCCTGTTTCCTTACTAAGATATCAGCTTAGTTAGTTCACTTTGACTGTTTTATAGTTTAGGGTCAACTCTTTAAAAAGGGGTTCTTCAAGTGTTCTTTAGTAAAGGTAATGTTATAAAGAACCATGACAAAGATGGTTCAAAGAACCATTTTTGTGCTCAAACAGTTCTTTGTGGTTCAGAAAATGGTGCTTTTTATGTTTGTCATTCTAATTATACTACAGTTGCCTTCACAAGATTATGATTGCCATTTATTACATCCTGTATTACATATTATTATTATTATTATTATTATTGTGTACAATATTCATAATGTGCAACTTCTTTAGAGAATCTTAATAATATTACTCTATCTAGCACTAAAAAAGAGTTTGCTGTTGTTATAGGATGCATATGAGAAGAACCTTCTTTTGGTACTATGTAGAACACTTTTAATTGTTAATACTTGTATATGTCACCGAAATGGGTTCTGCTGTTGTTACATGTTATAGAATATTGCTATAGAACCTTTTACGAATTGTTGGAACCAAAAAGGAGGTCCACTATTGTTACAAATCTTAGAACCTCTTTAAATATCTTTTTAAAAGTGGTTCTGTGTGGCAACAAAATGATTTTGCTATTGCATAGAACCTTCTTTTGGTGCACAGTAGAACCCTACTTGATCGTGTGTTGATCAGTTTACACGCTGCATATGTTAAAAAGAGGAATATTATTGCAGCATAATCATCTTTATTTGCTCAGCCATTTTTCCCTCTATTTCAGCTTCTTACTGCACATCGCCTTCCCCTCACCCACCTGGAGAAAGTTAAATTTCCCCCTGTTCTCATTTGTACTTCATTTGAAGTTCTCCTTGTGTAACATTTCACCTTTAGTTCTCATTAGCATTTTTAGGGAAACTTTTCAGAACTTTTTTCCCTCACAAGCCAAGCGGCTTCTCCAGGAGCAATAGCGGCGCTTAAGCGCGAGGATAAAATGTCTCCCAGTTCACCCGAGGGACAGGCAAGCTCCTGGGGAAGCGAGCGCGTTCAAAGAGGAAGGTGTTGTGCCAGGGGGGGTGGCTGTGCCAGAGCGAGCGCCACGCTGCCGAGCCTGTGTGTCCTGTGGTTATACTCTCACAGCCGGCTCCGGGAACAGATACAGCACTTTTTTAAAAAAAAGAAATAAATAAATAAAAATAATAATAATAACACTGGCATCAAATCATGTAAATATGAAATGTAGGCAGCATCCTGCCACCAGCGTCAACATTAAAAGGAACAGATTGAAATGATCCTCAGGGGTAGTATCACCGTGGTAGGTGATGGAATTTCACTCCTTCATCTGTTTTCTCATTTTTTTTCTATTTGCTTTGTTTATCTGCACATTTATTTATATATTTACGCAAGCTGGAATAAGTCAAAATAAGGAGCGGTGATTTATTGATGTCAAGTTCCGTTATTTTACTCTCCGATGACTTCTCGCCGTTTTTACACTTTTCATAATCTCCAGCTGAGCTTATGCCGTTATGTAAACTAGTACTGTTTTTTTTTAATCTTGGAGCTGTAGAATTACACTGACTTTACAAGGAAGAACTTCTCTGTATGTCATTATTTGACCTTTCACTGTAATAATCTTGCAAGATTATTCCTATAAATTAATTCCCAGTGCAGAGACACAGCTCAAGCCGGACTGATGGAGATGCAGCCTGAGTTGGAATGATAGAAATAAATCTGTCTTTTATGTGCGAGAAGTTAGTGCATTATTGCTTGTGAAAGTGAGAAATTTCACTTTCAAGAGGCTCTGCTTTGTGGGCGGACGCAACTTTTCTATTGACTTTTCCAGGTTCTGGTCGTCTGTTATTAGAGAAGCAAACAGATCAATATACTACACTGTGGCCAAAGTGCAGACAGAAGCGCTCCAGCCCACTGTCGCTAGCACTTCCACCAATCATCTCTCCTCTGGCACGTCCTCGCCAGCCGTCCTGTATTTGCATTGCAGATCTGTGGAGCGAGTTGCACAACAGTTGTTTTTCACTCATTAGTCACATAAATCAAACTAGAGCGGTACCACAAATGTACCACTGTAGTATCACTAGATACAAAACAGTATTGTTTGATGTCTCAATCGATTACTGTACACATTAACATAATGTCATAAGTCACATATCGCTGTTGTTGGAAGAAAACCTTGTGTAACCTTTTACATTTTTCAGTTTTTGACATAATTTAAAAAAGCCTGTTACCTGTTACATTGTGTGTAAATTTCAAGTTTCATTGTCTTACATTAAAAGTAAAGTAGGTTTATTCCTTCTCCTGTAAAGTTAACATTTTGCATTTTGGAGATACAGCTTTTTTTTTTTCCCGACAACAATAATATGTTCTACACTGCAATACCATGCAAAGGTCAGAGACCACACTTCATTTATAAAAATTTCCAGTCAAAACAGCCATTTAGTAAGTAAAAGTTGTTTATTTTGCATGAGATTTTTCTAAGAAGATAAATATAATATAAACCCGTTGCATAAGGAAGGAGTAAGTCAACAGAAACAGAGAAAATAGGACTCCCAACAACAATGCAGGACCTGATAAACCACCAAAACTGTCACCTTCAGATAAACAGCACTGAATCAAATCTAGCTGTACTCGTTCTTCAGATCTGAAAAAATCCACAAGTGTTTCTGTCCATCCTACCACTGTGAGAAGACAACTTAACACCATGCGTCTGAAAGGATGTGTAGCTGTTAAGAAGCCCTTACTAAAAAACAAAAGGAGACGGACAAAAAACAAGAAACATTGCAAATCAAATAGAAGCTGCTGCTGTTCTCAGAACACTGGACTGGGATTACTTGGATCTTGTGAAACAAAAAATGCCACCAGCTTCAAGAAGCCCTTACTGAGAATAAAAGAACATTTGCAGATTAAACAAGAAACGGCTGGTGTTTTCAGAACAATGGACTGACCGCCCCAGAGTCCAGACCTCAACATTATTAAATGTGTTTGGGTTACTTGGTTTCTGAGGAGTAGAAAATGCAACCAACTTCTAAGACTGAACTTCAGATGTATAGAAAAACATCCCTGCAAATTTATTTGAAAAAATGAAACCAGGTCTTTTGAAAAGAGTGGAACATGTAAGAAAGGCAGAGGGTGGACACAGTAAGTACTAAAATAACTGTTATTATTTAGATGTTGAGGTTTCTGTTAAGTATATAGTGCTGTGCAAAAGTCTTGGGTACCTTAGCAAATTAAATAAAACTGTTTATTTTGGCAGTCAGTGTGTTTTTGCCTTAAAAACACGATATGCCATTAGAATAAATGCAAGTAAATAAATAAATACAGTCAAAAGAAGCCATTTTTAAGTGATATTTTAGGCTTGTTTGAAGAACAAAGTTTGGTTCCAGATTTCTCTTGGACGCCCGTAGACATTGCATTGATTTGTTCAAATCCACCACAAGCACACCTTATTTAACATAGTGAAGTAATGCTAGGCCAAACTAGGTATTGGATGATAGCTACAGTTATTACTGGGTTTCTTTGTGGAGAGGTCAGGAAAACACATCAACATCACTACTTCCTGTGTTAATGTTATTTATAAATATTCTAATCCTAGTGCTTTTTGAGCAAATAAATGCTTACTGCCCAGATAAATAGCTTTTTAAACAGATTTTCTCAGATGCCTAAAATTTTGGCGCAATACTGAATGTTTTCTGCTTTTTCCCTGATGCTGAAAAATGAATAAATTGTGCTTAATGGCTGCTTTGACTGGAAATGAAACAAATGAAGGATGGGCTTTTGTGCAGTACAGTACTTCTAAAATCATTTTCATCTTTTTTTTTTTTCTTTGAAAGATGAATCCATTGCAGTAACGAGTTTGTGTTTGTTTAAAAGTGCCCATGCGGTCACATCTGGTTTATGTTTTCTTGCCCCGGGTGTCTCTAGGGTCGTTTTCATTGCATGCCAGGCCGAGCTGTCCTTATGTTTTGATCAAAAGCAACAGATCCTATTGCAAGGAAATGCTGCTGCTGATGTAGTGAGTGAACAGTGAGCACCTCCTCCCCAGCCAGCACCCCCGTAACCCCCCTGCTCTGCCTCTCAAGTCCTCCCCAGCTGGAAAGTTTTGACATCTGCTGGTTTGGGCCGCGGCAGAGCAGCTGTCAGCAGCGGGGAAGCCTCATTCAGCAGCAGTTGGCGGGATGGCTGGGTGCCAGCTTGTACCATCTGTGCGCCTGACATTTCCTTCTAATTAACAGAAGGGTTAATTGTTCTGGCAGGCTCAAATGTAGTGTCTAACATTACCCAGGAGAGAACGCACACAAGTGGCAGAGTGGCAAGGTGCCGGGACGGCGCGGTTAATGCCGCCTGCCACCGCCATCACATGACGGTTAACAGTTGCCGATTGGTTAGCCAGCAATAAGGCTGAGGTGTTTTCCAACCCACCCCTCACTGATGAATTATGCCAAGCTGCTGTAATGATGTAGAAAGAATTGGGTTTGGAGAGGCAAAGACCACTGCCTAGGGGCAATTGGGAGGGAACAATTTGCATGTTATTACTGCATATTCATAACTAATTGTGTTAGGCTTTGCTAATAGAGCAGAATGACAGTATGAAAAATTGAGAAGCCGTTTTTATAGCCAACAAAGCACACCACCGCTTTCTCGCCATGTCTCCGACACCAGGCGCCGAATGATCATTAAGACACTTAGTTGCTAAATATAACAGGTTGTATCATCTGTCAGCCTGACATAATGTAATTTATTAAGTGGTCTAATTTTATCTTAGTCTATGCAAGCCATTTTTTTTTAACTCCACTTTATAGCACAGCACGTTGGAACCGAAATGTTGTGAAATTGTGTTTCAACAACATATTAAACTTTAACGTGAAAATTGGACACAGGAATTACGACACACTTGTTTAAAAAAAATAAGAAGAATGCTGGAAAAATGAAAGCAAATAATGGCAAATCTAAGGTTTGATGGCTGAGATATCAGAAGATGATCTGAGCTGTTACAGGCTCGCAGTCGTCTCGGAAAATAGCCGTCCAAAACCGCTGTGAGCTATTGTATAATCTTTTTGGCCCGCGTGTGCGAGTTGTGATAGATGTAAGCATATGCATGTCATGATGAATGATTAATTGCATATCATGTTGGCATCAGAGGCGGCGTGACCGCCGATGTGCTGACATGTTGAGGCTGTGTGGTGTATTGTACGCGCGCACACGCATGCACTGTACTGATGGGCTAAATGGATGCCCTCTGGGTGTGGGAGTCAATTTGCACGCCTCCCTTGGCCCCTGCATCGCATTGACTGGCTGTCAGGGCCGTGCGCTGAGAAGGATCCAGGCCCCAGAGTAAAGAGACAGGAGCCTTTTACCCAGCATGGGAGAACTCGGAACAATCCGCTAGTGGAGCAGGCTCCTTTTGTCCCAGAGAGGAAATGGGGCTCAAATTGACTGCAGTTAGTTACCATTCAGAGACCTCTTTTCTATTCACTGTGCTTTCAATTCCAGCTCCTCAACTTCAGAAGATACCCCCCGCACATGTCACATGATGGATATTTGGGAATGGGTGCCAAAGTACTCAAATATATCATATAATTGCTCCTAAATTAAACAAATCGGCGCTTTTGTCGAAATTGGCCGAAAGAACTGGCGCGGGAAAAGATCTGCCAGTAAAGTGTTTTGGTAATGTGTGTAATTTCTGCGCTGCAAACTTTTTCATAAAGCAGGGTGGAAAATTTGCAGACTTTGAATAGGTTTCTCTCCCTGTCCGTGCTTTGTTTAACTTGTGCGCTTTGAGCGAGTCTTGTACTTTTGTGAATCCTCAGGTGTTCTTTCACTCTTTCTCTCACTTTCTCTCTCCCTCTCTCGCTTTTTTGCTTCATGATGTTCGGGGCGTCGTTTCCGCATCCCCCAGTGTTTCGTATCTGATCTCTCTGCCTCCCTCACACGTCAGTTTATCTCTTTTCACTTCAGATGGCTCAGGACGACAGCTGGGGAAAAAGAGGTGTTCACACGCGTGCTGGCGTTTTCTATAAAGCTAACATTTGCATATCTAAATATAAGGGATGGTAGATTAGTTTTTTTTTTATTTAATTTATTTTTTTTTGCAGCTGAACATTAAGCAGGCAGTATTTATGGGTTGTGGCTGGGATATCAGTTTGCGGAGTGGTTGATAGCATGGCGCTTGACAGCTGTCGCTAGCAGCTCAGCAGCGCTCGTCAGGAAGCCGCCAATGCCTGCCTGCACTGTCAGAGAAGTTTAGTGTTTTGCGGTGCTGTGCCGGAGTGGCTGGGGGAGCCGAGCCTGGGTGCACTGTGTGTGTGTGTGTGTGTGTGTGTGAGAGGAGTTCAGGGCTTCCTCACCCTTCAACTAACACTCTGTCACTTCAAGGCCCTGCTCCCGTTGGCCTACCCCTCTGGATCTCCTGTCCAAAACCTGCCAAAAACTCAGCTCTAGCTCCCGCCACTCGCCTGCTTATCACTGCTGATGAGCGCCGAGCACTGTACGTGTTTTCTGTGTGGGTGAGAGAATCTGTCCTGTTTTATTGTTTCTGACCACATGCTCCACACTAGAGGACACACGCCACACGCACACATGAAATACAGTCAGCACCCCTGCTTATATTTTGGCCTGTTTAAATACTATGTCTGTATAAATGCATTGATGCATCAGTTACATTGATTTTGGAAACTCATAATCAATTGTGATTTATAATATTCAATGTATGTACTTTTTTTTGCCAAAAATAAAGTTGTTGGGCCGAAATAGTTTCTCTTTATAACAGAAGTGAAAAAAATCTTTGGAAACTTAATTTTAATATGCAAATGTGAAATGCTAAAAGCAAATAATTGAATTCAGAGGTTTTGATAGTAAATTTTAAATCTCTGCTTTGTCTCTTTCAACTTACAGCATGGCAGAAACAATAAATATTGTGACTTGTTATGTATCACAAAAACTTTTTGAAGTATTGTTATATTACATTTTGCCATTTTGGCCAGCTCTATATGCTTTTGTTACTTTATATGCTTTAATAACTTACACAGTGTCGATAAAATATTGCAATCTATTCACCAAAAGATAATTTTAGATGTTCTATTCAATATTTCAAGAGTTCTGAGAAATAGAACTTATTAAATGATAATATACTGTAACTGTCTTTGTCAAGTTATCTGCCTTGAGATGAGATCTTTACTTTTGAAATATGAAGAATCCTGGATACTTATTTTATTTTTATTAAGATTGTCAATGTTGTACAGCTTTCTCGATCATTTTAGAATACTTCTCTGCTCATCATTCTGGATCTAACATGTTTTAATTTCTACATTTATACCTATTTATTCATTCACTTTTATTTATTTACTTCATCTCATGTACTACAAATTATTTGACAGCTTTGAAGTTGTACAGAACTAGCATGTTGAAATAATTTTATATGTGTGTGTGTGTGTGTGTGTGTGTATATATATATATATATATATATATATATATATCTCTGCAACCAAACTGGTTTTCTATTATTCATTATATTGATTCCAAACCTCTGAACAGTGATTCCAATTGTACTGTACAGTAATGTTATTTTTCTATGAAGTGCTTTTTTCCATTATTAATTATTATTATTAATTTTAGACCATTTTTATGAAATATTCACACAATGTGATGGGCAGAGGGCCTTTTCAAACTGTGTAAAATAACAAAACAATAACAAATAACAACAAAAGAGAGTATTTACAAGGTTTTTATATGACAAAAATGAAAAAGAAGCATTTGTTTTTGTGTTTATTCTATTCTATTATATTCTTTCAGTCATATTTGTATATTCAGTACAGAAATATTTACTAGTTATATTAAAATCAAATTGAATCAGGGTGAAATTTGAGATGTCGTGATGCACCGAATCGTTTCTTAAAGAACTGTAATCAAATGAATCCTTGCAAGGTCACAGATTTACACCTCTATTAAATATAGATGTAAATGTACCCGGGCTCGCCTTTGAGCGAGTGCACTTTATCATACCGGTGCATCAGCTGCCATATGTCCTTATTTATCTATGCACCATATGTTTGTGTAGAACCTGTCAGAGCTGCTCCAGGTGTGTGGCTGAACAGTGTCTTCCCCGGAGAGTGACAGAGTGACAATAATGATGCAGCTTGGAGACACAGAGGCCACACAGAATTAGCCTAGTAAAGAATGCTCCACTTGCTGCATAGTAATTGTGGCACTCACTGGGGGGGTTCTGGGGAGAAAAGAAAAAGAAAGAAAGAAACTATACAAAGTATACAATGCAGATAGGGAGGTTCATTAAGACTTTCTCATTAGAGGCCCATCACTCCTGAAGCTTCAATAAAGCCACGGAGGTGCCATTAGGAATAGAATAGTGTCTGGAGCAATTTCGCCAAGCCTCGCACAAGGACAGCTAATGGTTTCTTACAAGGGGTCTCAGACAAATTATCCGCAGCTTCTCAGAGGTATGTATATATATATATATATATATATATATATATATATATATAATATAATATTCCTTTTTTGTGTTTGATTTAGTCCCACTTAATATTCATTTCAGGCTTGTTTTTTTGAGTTTGAGTTTTGATCTATCTATGTTCAAGTGCATATCTGTTTTGTACATGTTTGGTTTTGGAATCTGGGTGCTGTGTTTTTGCCTTAACGTGCGTTTGAAATCCGCAGGGGCTGCAGGTTGTGCTTAATATTCTCCGTGGCCTCCCCCTTGCAGGCAGAAGCCAGGGGACCTTATGAAGGCTCAGGTGGAGGATCTGCGGAATCAGCTGAAGGCCAAGAACGGGATTATTCAAAGTCTGCAAGAGGAAATTAAGACGCTTTTGTTCCACAGTGCCCAGAAGAAGAATGAGGTACAGCATCTCCAGACTACCGTTTTTTTAAACCCCCCTCTCCTCTTTTTTTTCCCCCTCTCGATTAAATGGAAGCAGGGTTTTAGGTGCAGTAGACACGATATTGCTTGCTGCGTGTGCCCTAAGCTTTGCATGTGTTGTGTATTAAACAATGCTCCCTGCATGTGACGAATTGCAAACATTGTGTGCCCTGAAGGTTTAAAATGGTATTTGAGCTGAAGTGTTTTTTGTTTTTTTTTTCTTTTCTTTCTTTTCTTTTTTTTTTTTACTGCTTCCAACACCTCCTTATGAAGTGTCACCAAATTAAAACCCACTGCTGTTTTATTGTCTGTGGCTTGCACATTTACAAATTGATGGTTACGGTAAAAGCTTGTGTAAACGGTGTTTTCCAGCATGATATTCTTAACATATCACTATGGAAAATCAGTGTCAATTATTGTGCTATTATGTTACGAATCTCAGCTTCTAAAAAAATTGGGACAGTATGTGAAATGCTAAAAAAAAATTTTAGTCAATTCTCTGTGATCTGTGTAACATTGAAAACACAAAAATTAATATTTGATGTTTTACCTTATGAACTTTATTGATTTATTTATTTATTTTTGTAAATATACAAGTTCCAAGTGTGATGCCTATGTTTACCCTTTAACAACACTCAATAATTGTTTGGGGACTGAAGACATCTGAAAAGGGAGTTTTCTTCACGGATGTAAAAGATAGCCATGTCATACACCCCCCATCGACAGACCTTTTTGAACTTTATGTTGGTAAAAATCTATCCTTTTCTTTTTGGCCCAGAGAATGCAATGTCCATTATCTGAAAGATTGACTGGTCAGACCCCAGTACACGTTCCACCATTCATGAGTCTGTTTCGGATGAGCTTGAGCCCAGAGACGTTGGCAGCGTTTCTGGATGTTGTTGACATATGACTTCCACTGTGGATAGTACAGTCTTAACTTGCATTTGTGGATGCAGTGTTAAATAATGATTATTCAAAAGGATTTGTCAAAGTGTTCCTGAACCCATGTGTTTTTTAATGCAGTGCCGTCTGAGGGATCAAAGGTCCCTTGCCCGTTACGCTGGCATCAAATTTAGGAATTGTCTGGGTTCCCTTTTGCACTGTAGAGGGTGAAATATGTTAAATCGCCATAATCTCTTATTGAAGAATGTTGTTCTTAAAACAGTTGAATTATACAGTGATACAGTTTTTGGCATGGTGGCATGTCCTGACCCATCCTTGCTTATGGGCCTTTGCCTTACTTCTTTTATACCCAAACATCTGATTTACTTGCATCAGCTGTTTCAAATATGTTTGATCATTTCACAATGTTCCTAGTGTCAAATTGCTCTGTCCCAACTTTTTTGGAATGCGTATCAGGCATCAATTTCAGAATGGCCGTAGACTAGCAAAAAACAGTGAAGTTGACAAGATGAGACATTACATATCTTGTATTTGTATTGTTTTTGTTTAAATACAGGTCAAATTGGATTTGCAAATCACTGCTTGTGAGCTGGTTTAGTTTAAATGACAATAATCTTTTTCTTTCAGTTTTTCTTCCAGTTTACTTCTCTTGAAAACCATGATGCAACAAAATAAAAACTTTTAGTATCCAAAAGTTTAGTTTAAAACCTTCTACCAGTTCATGCCTCTAGAAAATAAGGTAGTATAGATTTTTTTTTCCCCACTCTGAAAACTGACAGAAAAACACATTGTCAGTTTGTGCAATTGCTCGTAGCTCAAATGCGCTGTGCTGTGTTTTCTCGCAGTTGTTGGAGAAGAAGGAAGCCATGCTGCTGCTGCGGAAGCCAGAGCTGGAGACGGCTCAGATCACCAGCGGAGATGTCATCGGCAAACCACGCTCTGTGCTTTGGGTAGCGCACCAGGAAGCAGTAGCCTCTGATGGAGAGGTGAGCGCTGAACGAAGGTTTTCCATATCGATATGTTAGTTCCTCAGGAGCAGCGGCTCAGAATCTGCCAGCTTTCCATCATTATCAGTCAGCTCTAATTTCACCACACATTCACATGGTCCGTCCACCTCTTTTAAAGAGCTGTTGTAATCAGACAAATGGCCAGACATTATGATCTCACCCTGCCCTGAGCACACAGACGTGCTGATCGATGTCGCCTACATGACTGATGAGAATATTTCTGTTTAATTTGTCTGTGTGGATGTGTGTTGTAACAGGGCAGGAGGGTTGTGGAGGTGCCAGCTGAGGTTGGAAACCCAAAAGAGGAGCGAGCACACAAACCCAGCGAGCAGGTGAGTAAGAGCAGACATCATGTTCTCTGCTCTTTTATGTAGCACAGTATTACACCCAATGAACAATGAAAAAATCAGTGCATTGAATCTACTTGTGCTGATATAATACAGTACAGTGCAAAAGTCTGAGACCACCCTTCATTTATTTGATTTCTAGTCAAAATGGCCATTATATACAAACCATTCATTTTTCAGGAGAGATTTCTGAGGAGATTAGATGTAAGATATTCCACTTGCATAAGAAAGAGGAAAGGAAAATAAGTGAAAAAATTAGGAGTTTTGAAATTCTGATTCCTAACAACTGTGCAAGACCTGGAAAACTGCCAAACCTGTCACTATACTTAAGGCTTTTCTCTGAAGAGATTGGAGAAAATCAAGCTCCGCTCTTGCTTCAGATCAGAAAACATCCACAGGTGTTTCTGTCCATCCTTCCACTGTGAGAAGACAACTCAGCGCTATGGGTCTGAAAGGATGTGTAGCTGTGAAGAAGCCCTTACTGAGAAAAAAAGAACATTTGCAAATTAAACAAAGAAACTGCTGGTGTTTTCAGAACAATGGACTGACTACTCCAGGGTCCAGACCTCAACATCACTGTGTTTGGGATTACTTGGATTGTGAGATGCAGAAAATGCAACTGACTTCTAGGACTGAACTTTGGAGATGTGGAAAAATATCCCTGCAGATTTCTTTAAAAAAACTGACAGGCTCCTGAAAAGGATAGAAGCTGTAATGAAGGACACACTAAATACTGAAAAACCTAGTATTTATTTGTTAAGGCTTCTGTGTTTTGTTTTGATTTTTTAAATATGTGTTCTGCTTCTGAGGCTAAAAAATTTACTTAATGGCCTTTTTGACTGGAAATGAAATACATTCAGTTGTTTTTCTCTCCTTTTTTTAAAATAAGAGTTGATGTAATATGTCGATATTGTTCAAAACATACCTTTCACTCCCCAGTCCTTATAGTTCATATATGAAAATTAAACCGTAAAACGCCCAGATGAACAATTAACACTGAAGTTACAAGGAGTGTCTTGGCCTGGACTGCTTTTAGACTGAGGCCCGATACATGGCAGCCAGTTAGAACAGAGGTAATTTACATATATCAGTCTTATAGGCACAGTTGTGAAAACATCCTGTTTAATTCTAAGAGATAAAGAGAGGTTAGATGGTCATGTGAAAATGATTAATGACTTTTTTAATGCATAAACCCACACCAAAGTTAAAAGTGGACATCAGTAAAATGAAATATGTCAGGAAAATATAGGATATGGACCCTTTAATCTACAAGTGATGTAAATAAATTCAGTGTATCACTCTTGTTTCACTCATTCTACGCTATGTGACTAAAAGTAGAAATGGCTGTTCACAGATGCACTCAGAGTATGTGATAAATTCACTGTAGGGTCACTGAGTTGCCGCTTAAGTGGAGAATAACCCTTTTCTGATGGTCGTACACTATACATCTTTTACGTAGGCAACATATCCTTTATCCATGGACACGACACCAGGCGCTGAGATGGTGTTACGTTCATTAAAACAGTATGATGAGACATTAATGGGGCCGTCAAGGCGGTGTTATTGTCAGTCCAGTGTGAAGCCGTGTTCTAAGTAGCTTTTACAGATGCAGCTCAGCAGTAGGCAGCCTAAGCAGGGAGATCAGGTTTATGATACAAGCATCACCTGCAGAGCATCAACGGGATATTAAGGAGCCTCCTCTCGCTCTAATTCTATTTCAGTGCTCTACCTCTGACGCATAGTCCTTAATTGAGGCTGGATTTATCTCTGTATTTTCAAAGGCCAACAGATAAACATTTTAATGTTGCCTCTGGACGATAATGATGGCAGAAGAAATGGAATAATGGAGGTGTATAATAGAACTGCATCCTTTATGCAACTTCCTCTGACCTCATCCGTAGGACCACTTCTGGCATTAGGTATTATGCACTTAGTGGACGCACATGGACCCAACAGATAGAGGTGCTCATTAGGTCTGATGCTTCATCATGTTCTATTTAGGGTTTTTCTGTTTAGTTTTTTTTTTTTCTCTGGTTTCTTGTTGAACTGTTAGGAGTCTAGAGTCACTTTACTGAGCTATTTAAATGTAATTACACATTACATGATCAATGACACAGTTGCACAGAACTGATATTTACATTCACTTTGCTAGGGCCGCAACTATTTTTGTTGCTCCATTTGTGTCGTTTAATTTTTTTTTTTTACGTAATTTGTAAATGTCAGCTGCTATTTACACTGTGTTCAAATTTCATGATGAACAGAGCAATAGAGGTGCTACAAAATCACTTACATTAACTTACCCTGAAAGTTAAGAATGCTTAATTGTTCTCCTGTAAAGTTTCTTATTTGAAGATTCAAGGTTTTGTTCCAACAGCGATGAAATATGTGATATTCAATAAACTTGGTTAAAATATTAAAAATGGTAAACAAACAAATTAGAATAACCAGCACTTCATCACTTGTGTGAAACCATGCACTTTTGTGGGGAAACCAACTTTTGTTTTTTTTGTTTGGTCACTAGTATTGTGCATTTGCCAGCTCTGTGATTTAACCCTTGTGTGGTGTTGGGGTCTGTGGGACCCATTTTCAATGTATACCAAAAGAAAAAATGATGTGAATTATTATTATTTCAACCTCAGATTCCTTGGCCTTTTCTCATTTTCTGTGAAGAACATATAAAGTAACTCATTTTCAGTGCCTTCTCACTGTTCACCCCCCACACATTTGTATTACATATGTGGTGTTGGGGTGAACCTGTGGGGAATAAAAGTGTGGAGGTGCTGTGTCCCTTCACTCTGTTCTCCTTCTACATGGCCTGCTGTTAGTGTGTGTGTGTCTGTGTGTGTCTGTGTGTATGTGTTTGTATATGTGTGTGTGTGAGGGTGGACGACCTGGACAGGCTGCTTACTGGCTACAGCTGCTGTGTTATTTTTGAAAGTAAATGAGAGCGTGCGTGCTAGCCAGCTGACCGGAGCAGTAGGAAAACTTATTCTATCACACAGATTGCACGTTAAAGCCTAGGTGGATATGCCTTATAAACCTTGGTCACTCCCCATTCTCTGACCAGAGGTTACCAAAGAACTTTTAATTTTTTTCAAGATGATGGTTAGGAAGACACTGTTTCCTCTGCTCCTATGCACTGCTTATAACTGTCACATTGAGAGAGCACTGGCTGCCAGTGTTGCCAGATTGGGAAGGATCCCCCAGATTAGCATTTTTATGCAACTTACTGTGAAAGTTATTGTATATCAGTGATATCTTCGGAGTCCATGGCTACCAAAATGTTGCTTTTTTCATCACTGGCAGTCCCTGAATCTTCATTTTGGTTGTGTTTAATAGAGAGTAGAGTCAAGAATCTGTTACAGTAGTTTAATACATCAGTGCCTTAATGTCACTGTCACATTGCAACAGTGTCATTTAGTCGAGTAGATTCATTGTATGCAGACTGTCTTCTTTAGTAACTGTGTAGTAATTTCCCTTTACAAAATGGGTTGATTGGAGGAGAATGAACATAGAAATGAAGACATTAGACATCCAGTCTCCTCATTCACTGAATTTTGCCTCAACCTCATTTTTTCCTCATATTAAGTCCTTACGGTAAGGCACATTAGGCGCTTCTGTAAAGTACACCGTTGAATAGTGCAGAGGTGAGCGTAACTGCTGAGCTTCGTATTCGAATAGCAGTTATGTCATTTGCCAACGGGATCAGAAGTGCTTGAGAAGGCAGTTGACCACGTTCTCATTAGGAGGGAAAGATGACAGAATCTTTCTCTCTTTCTCTCCTATTAGACTGTAACATGGACAGTAGGAATGCTGACAAACTTCACATGGGTCTTGATGAGAGTGTGTGTGTCTTTTTATTTTTATATATATATATATATATATATATATATATATATATATATATATGTAGACTTGGTGTGAAAATATAAGAAAACTGAAAACCATGATTCAGAACAAAAGAAAAATGCTGCTTGCCATTTTCCCTGTGTACCGTTTGCAGGCGGCTAGCAAAACAGGGCTGTAGTTTCAGATCACGGAGTGAAGTTCTCATGCATATGGGAAGGAAAAACAAACAATAAATTCTCCCTGTTGAGTTCATGGCCATTATCGCTAATAAAATGATAAGTGGTACCAGCCCTAGTGATAAGTCCAAAAATAAAGAACCACAAATAGCCTTGACCCTGAGACAAATTAAACCCGGATCCTCCCACTATTGAAGGAGTTAAACATAACCTCAAGCAACTTTAATAATTCTTATAAGCTCAATGAAATATGTAACTTGTCATCTATTGATTTATCTAATAAAAGGCATAGTAACATTTGAAATTATGTTGATAATTATTACAATAATAATATTTTTTGAGTATATTGAGATGATGTTTTTGTTTGGAAGCTATAAATTTGAGTTCACCCCTTTTATTCAAAGCTATGCATATAACACCCCTATATGCAAAGCCTTGCATTGAACAATGTCCAGATGGACAGAATGGTCCTGATTATTTTGGAGGTTTTTGACAAAAGCTGCATTTATTTATTTAGTTTAAATGAAAGAGTAAAACCATTTTTTATTACTGAGGTTAATGTTGGGGTTAGGTTTAGGGTTAAATTGCATGTAGGTACTTTTAGGTACTTTGTTTAATATATCGCTGTTGTCGGAACAAAACCTCATATCTCCAAAATGGTAACTTTACAGGAGAAGGAAAAAACCTGCTTTACTTTTAATGCAAGTCAATGGAGCCAGACTTTTAACCAAGTCATTTTGGGCCATTTCTTTTAGTCCATTCATCATGAAATTTACATACAATATAAAGGGGAGCAGGTATTTTCAAATTACCGGTCAAAAACTGGTTTTCTTCCGACAGCAGCGATATGAATAAATAATACATAAAGGAAATACTGTTACATATACCTTAGACCTGCTGACTGTAGGTACAGTACTGTGCAAAAGTCAGAGAAAACTCTTCATTCATTTAATTACCAAT